ACTAGACTATAGACTAGACTATAGACTAGACTATAGACTAGACTATAGACTAGACTATAGACTAGACTATAGACTAGACTATAGACTAGACTATAGACTAGACTATAGACTAGACTATAGACTAGACTATAGACTAGACTATAGACTAGACTATAGACTAGACTATAGACTAGACTATAGACTAGACTATAGACTAGACTATAGACTAGACTATAGACTAGACTATAGACTAGACTATAGACTAGACTATAGACTAGACTATAGACTAGACTATAGACTAGACTATAGACTAGACTATAGACTAGACTATAGACTAGACTATAGACTAGACTATAGACTAGACTATAGACTAGACTATAGACTAGACTATAGACTAGACTATAGACTAGACTATAGACTAGACTATAGACTAGACCTATATAGACTAGACTATAGACTAGACTATAGACTAGACTATAGACTAGACTACTAGACTAGACTATAGACTAGACTATAGACTAGGACTATAGACTAGACTATAGACTAGACTATAGACTAGACTATAGACTAGACTATAGACTAGACTATAGACTAGACTATAGACTAGAACTATAGACTAGACTATAGACTAGACTATAGACTAGACTATAGACTAGACTATAGACTAACTAGACTAGACTATAGACTAGACTATAGACTGGACTATAGACTAGACTATAGACTAGGACTATAGACTAGACTATAGACTAGACTATAGACTAGACTATAGACTAGACTATAGACTAGACTATAGACCTAGACTATAGACTAGACTATAGACTAGACTATAGACTAGACTATAGACTAGACTAGAACTAGACTTAGACTAGACTAGACTAGACTATAGACTAGACTATAGACTAGACTATAGACTAGACTATAGACTAGACTATAGACTAGACTATAGACTAGACTATAGACTAGACTATAGACTAGACTATAGACTAGACTATAGACTTGACTATAGACTAGACTATAGACTAGACTATAGACTTGACTATAGACTAGACTATAGACTAGACTATAGACTAGACTATAGACTAGACTATAGACTAGACTATAGACTAGACTATAGACTTGACTATAGACTCGACTATAGACTTGACTATAGACTAGACTATAGACTTGACTATAGACTAAACTAATGATCAGAGTAATTTTAAATATCTCGAAATTGTTTTAACTAATATATAAATTTTCAATATTCCTTGCTCTTTGTGTAATTTAATGAATCATTTAATGTAAAATACAAAGTTTTGATAAAAGTTTTCTTTATTTAAAATTTGCACTCATACAGGAAATTTAAGTTTGTTTTAAAAGTTCTTTGTTTAATTTTTAATTAATAATTGATATGCATGCATAGATTTAGAGAAGAAAAAAAAGTTTTAATTTAATAATTTTCTTTCTTTTTTTATAACAACAAAACGGAAACATGTGCCAATTTTTAACTGCATTATTGAAGGCTAATCAAATAAATATATTGTTGTTTTAAAATTAGAAATAAACAAATAGTTGTTGCCTACTTTTAAGCGTTACAACTACATACATATTTAGACAAATACATTAAAAAAAACCCTAAATTTATAACACAAAGGCTTAATTGAATTATTATCAAAGAAAAAAACTTAAACATATTTTATACATAAAAATGACAACCGGAAATGAACAAAATTATAAATAACATAAACTAAATTTATATAGAAAAGATTTTAAAAATTTCTTTAAATGTATTGTTAATATTTTATTTTGTTCAAAGGTTATCTTGTGAAACAAAAAAAAAATAACTTATTGACCTTTTTTTATTAAAAAAAAAAGTCTTTAATAATTTAGAATGTTTTGATAAGACTAGACATTTGTTTTTTGACAATTAAATATGGTGTTATATTTCTAAGATTTATATTTAATATTTAAGATTATTTAAGAACAAAACAGAAGTATTTTAAAATATTAATAAAGCATTTATAAAAATTTATTTTAGTAAAGTTTTATCTTTAAGGAAAGAGTCTTATAAATGACAACTTTGTTTTGTATATACATATTTTTTTGCTTTCTAAGTATTCCGGAAATATAATATATTCATGTTGGATCCATTCCATTTATTTCTTATTTACTTACATTACCAGTAAGTGCACTCACTCACTTATTCATACATTCATTCATTCATTCATTCTTTTCATTTACTTTAAAAGTTTAAACGTAAGTTTTTCTTTCTATCAAGTCTGTGTTTTATTTCTGTTAAACTTATGCTGATTATTTTACTTAAATTGACCCAATTTTTTTGTTTTCTTATTTTCTGTTTCAATTTGTTTATTATTATTTTTATTTTGTTTTGCATTTAAAATTATGTTTATGTTTTTTTTTATCAATTTTTATTATAATTAATTAAAAGTCTTAAGGGTTTATATATCTTTACTAAGAAAAACAAAAAAAAAGTTGTGATAAAAATTTTTAAAATTTAAATTTATAAAAAAAAATCTCTTAATTTTATTTCAAAAAAACTAAGAGAGCTTTAATTTATAACAAAACAAAGAGTATTGTTGTTATAATATTGTAAAGAGCGATATCAATTATTGTTATTTTAAAAGAGAGTGATAGAGAGCGAGTACAATTGAACATATTTTTAGAGCATTGTGTGTTTCTAGACTCTCTTATGTTTAGAAAATGTCTCTTAAATATTTAAAATTTGCAAGCTCTCTTTTAGCCATGTTTTTATAATATTTTTTTTTTTGCAATTTTTGTACTTATCCCCTGACTTGTGTAAGGAGGACATATTGTCACTTAACCTGTCAAATTTTGACATTAACAAATGTTCTTAATATTTTAAAAGAACTTGTTAGTTTTATTACAATCTTCTAGCAGTCTTTTAGATAAAATGAAACCTGTTTATTTAGACTAGTTCAAAAATCTGTTGCAGGAGGCCTAAAAGTGGGCTCTTCGATACCAAAATTACGCCCTATTGAAGCCACAAGTATGAATTACTTTGTACGCAATTTTAGACTCGGAACCAATTGCTTCTATTGTTGAGTTTAAGACTTAATATTCAAATAATACCAAATAATTCTCCTCTCGAGTCAAATAATCCCAAAACCCTAAGATTTATGACTTAAGAATGGAAGGACCATTATCACAGAGGATCATAGTTTGTCTAGGAGAAGTTATAGACTGATTTTTTGGGAAATAATATTTCAAATAATCCTCCTCTCAGTCAAATTATCCCAGATCTCGTTTATATTTGGTTTACAATAAGGTAGTTGTATAACTTAGATTTATGCCTTAAGAATGGAAGGACCATTATCACAGAGTTTCATATTTTGTCTAGGAGAAGTGATTGACCGATTTTTTAGAAAAATAACTTTCAAATAATCCTCCACTGAGTTATATTATCCCAAATCTCGCTTATACTTGGTCTACAATACGGCAGTTGGTTTTTTACTTAGATTTATGCCTTAAGAATGGTAGGACCATTATAACAGAGTTTCATAGATTGTTAAGGAGTAGTGGTTAACCGATATTTTAGAAAAATTATTTTCAAATAATCCTACACTGAGTCAAATTATCTCAAATCTCTCATATAGTTGGTTTACAATAGGGCAACAGGTGTTGATCTTAGATTTATGCCTTAAGAATCGAAGGACCATTAAGACAGAGTATTATAGTTTAACTGGAAAGAGTGACTGCTGATTTTTTGGAAAAATAACTTTCAAATAATCCTCCTCTGAGTCAAATTATACCAATTCTGCTATATTTGGTTAACAATAGGGCAGTTGGGTTTGCGCTTAGATTTATGACTTAAGAATCGAAGGTCCATTATTAGATATTATAATAGTTTGTCTGAGAGAACTGATTAACCGATTTTTTGAAAAGATAACTTTCAAATTTGCATATATTTGGTATACAATTGGGCAATTAGAGTTGAGCTTAGATGTAATCCTAAAGAATCGAAGGACCTTTATTACAGTTCGTCTGGGAAAAGTGATTGCTCAGTATTTGTAAAAATAACTTGTAAATATCTTCCTCTCGAGACATTTGGTTATCATATTTGGGTTATCATATGGCAGCAGGTTTGAGCTTATACTTGTTCCTAAGGAATCAAGGACCATTACTACAGAGTAATATTGTTTGTTTGGGAGAAGTGATTGCTGCATAACTTTCAAATAATACCATTCTCGAGTCAAATAGCCCTAAAACTAGATTATATTTGTTTTACAATAAGATTCGAAGGACCATTATCACAGAGTATGATTGTTTATTCGCAAGATCTAATGGTTTCGAGTTTGTTGTGAAAGAGTTCTTTTGTAATAACTTATGTTAGAAAACTAACGAAGTACTTTTAATAGAATTACATCATTTTGTAGAAGTGATGAAGTAATAACTTCCAAAAAAGTGAATAAAATCAAAATGAAATGATGATACCACATACCAAATATGTAACTAAGATCTTCTTAAAAAAGTAGCATTAAAATCACTTCCTTAAAATAACATATAAATCACTTCTGTGGAAGTCATTACAAAGCAATGAAGAAAAGAAGAAAGAAAATAATATTTCGATTCGACTAATTGCTTTCCGTGCTCATTTCTAAACAAAACCTTATAGTGAATTACACTTCTTTTTAGCCTCCTTGGAAGTTCTTTATGAAATTTTAATTTAAAAACTTAACATTTTATTACAGCAAATAAAAAAAATCATTTGCTGCCATTAAGTATTTGATTCGTTGAAAATTTTGTTTGCAACTGATAGATACTCTTTGTCCAGAATCAGAGGATTACAGTTTTTACATAATGTCTTTCTAAAAATTATGTTATATAATACAAATCTTCTCTTTTTTCAATAAATCAAAAAAAAAAAAAAAATATGTTTTAAACACTAATAATTCCAACAATAACAAAATTTTGAAACAACAAACATTTTAAACAAAAAATTCAAAATTTTCGTTTTTGTCCCATTTAATTTATTACCAAAAAAAAAAAAAAACAAAACTCACCTTAGCATCAGCAATATTTCCAAATAGAGCAAAAGTAAAAAGAATTACAACTACTGTTGGCAACAGTAGACCATGCCTCTTAGGGGCACACAAACCCGAGAGACCCAAAAGGCCTCTGGGTAATGGCAACATATTCCGCAAAACTAACGCGTATCCGCCACGAACAACAACAACTTTTTATAGTAAAACGACACTGGAACACGCACTACTTTGTTTTCCGTTTCTTTCGAAGATTTTGTGTTTTTTTCTTGTTAAAATTCAAAAAAATTATAATAGTACTTTTTTTCTTTTCTGATGGTAAAACATCAGAAAATTTGTTGGTAGGAGTAGAGCACTACCGTTTGTTTAACACTAAAAAAAATAAATAATAAAAAAAGAAAAATATTAAAAAACCGTTATATTTTTTTAAAAACGTCTTTTCAAAAAAAATTAACAAAATTTTATTAATTAAAAAAAAAACGAACAAAATAAAACTGTCTTAAAATTTCAAAAAAATGGAAATAAAAAAACTAACACAACTCGACGTTAAGCACTCGTAACATACACTGATTACAGATAGATTTTATTTATGTAGAAGACTAGTGGGTACGCAATACGATCGTCGTATACTCTCCCTACATGGAGATCGACAAACGTTCGAAGTGTTACTAAACATGAGGCCAGCAAAAGATTTTTCATGCTGCTCATATTTGCTAAATCAAACATTACGCCACTCACACTCTCTCACAGTCAGAGCCGAACATTGAAACGAGTGCACCACTACCAGCTCCAAATCCACCCATACTCTGGCAACTGATAAAGTCACTTTTTTTGTGTCAATGTATGTGTGTCTCTATGGTTCATGCCTTCCGTTCAAAATTTTCACTTTAAAACTGAATGAATTTCATGAAATGGAGTGGATGGGATGTGAGGATCTAGATTTATGTTAAAGAAAGAATGGAAACCCAAAAAAAAAAACATCTTTAAATCCACTAAAACGGATGAACATATAGAGCGTATGAGCTTTATTTTGAAATCGCTGAAAAATATTTAATGTTGTGGTAGTTGTTGTTTGTGTTAGATTAAAACCCTAAGAACAACTACAACATTAGTAAAATCAAATCAAAAGAGTCATCTCATATAAATTAGAACTTTGCCTTGATGTGAGGAAATGGTTGGTTATTTTTTGTAGTGTTTTTGTTTAGAAGATTTCGTAAAGCTTCTTCTCACCCAGAAACAAAGAAGACTTGAATAATCATAATCCACCCATAAAAAGTACATTGAAATACGAGGGTATTAGGATTAAGTCCTCATAAAACCGATAAGAAGGTAAACAAAATATAGACTATAGTCAAGTCTATAGATTAGATTATGGACTAGATTATTTAATAGACTATAGACTAGAATTTAAAATAGACCCTAATCTAGACTATGGGCTATATTATAGACTAGGCTATAGACTGCACTATAGTTTGGATTATAGACTATGCTATATATTCCTTTTTAGAATGACTAGACTATAGAGCAGACTATAGAATTGACTATAGACTAGACTATAGACTTGCCGTATTGAAAGGCCATTGGCTAGACTAAAGACTAAACTATGGACTAGACAATAGACTAGACCTATAGACTGACTAGACTAGATAGACTAGACTATAGACTAGACTATAGACTAGACTATAGACTAGACAATAGACTAGACTATAGACTAGACTATAGACTAGACTATAGACTAGACTATAGACTAGACTATAGACTAGACTATAGACTAGACTATAGACTAGACTATAGACTAGACTATAGACTAGACTATAGACTAGACTATAGACTAGACTATAGACTAGACTATAGACTAGACTATGACTAGACTATAGACTAGACTAAGACTAGACTAGAGACTAGACTATAGACTAGACTATAGACTAGACTATAGACTAGACTATAGACTAGACTATAGACTAGACTATAGACTAGACTATAGACTAGACTATAGACTAGACTATAGACTAGACTATAGACTAGACTATAGACTAGACTATAGACTAGACTATAGACTAGACTATAGACTAGACTATAGACTAGACTATAGACTAGATTATAGACTAGACTATAGACTAGACTATAGACTAGACTATAGACTAGACTATAGACTAGACTATAGACTAGACTATAGACTAGACTATAGACTAGACTATAGACTAGACTATAGACTAGACTATAGACTAGACTATAGACTAGACTATAGACTAGACTATAGACTAGACTATAGACTAGACTATAGACTAGACTATAGACTAGACTATAGACTAGACTATAGACTAGACTATAGACTAGACTATAGACTAGACTATAGACTAGACTATAGACTAGACTATAGACTAGACTATAGACTAGACTATAGACTAGACTATAGACTAGACTAGACTAGACTATAGACTAGACTATAGACTAGACTATAGACTAGACTATAGACTAGACTATAGACTAGACTATAGACTAGACTATAGACTAGACTATACTAGACTATAGACTAGACTATAGACTAGACTATAGACTAGACTATAGACTAGACTATAGACTAGACTATAGACTAGACTATAGACTAGACTATAGACTAGACTATAGACTAGACTATAGACTAGACTATAGACTAGACTATAGACTAGACTATAGACTAGACTATAGACTAGACTATAGACTAGACTAGACTATAGACTAGACTAGACTATAGACTAGACTAGACTATAGACTAGACTATAGACTAGACTATAGGCTAGACTAGAGGCTAGACTATAGACTAGACTATAGACTAGACTATAGACTAGACTATAGACTAGACTATAGACTAGACTATAGACTAGACTATAGACTAGACTATAGACTAGACTATAGACTAGACTATAGACTAGACTATAGACTAGACTATAGACTAGACTATAGACTAGACTATAGACTAGACTATAGACTAGACTATAGACTAGACTATAGACTAGACTATAGACTAGACTATAGACTAGACTATAGACTAGACTATAGACTAGACTATAGACCTAGACTATAGACTAGACTATAGACTAGACTATAGACTAGACTATAGACTAACTAGACTAACTAGACTAGACTATAGACTAGACTATAGACTAGACTATAGACTAGACTATAGACTAGACTATAGACTAGACGATAGACTAGACTATAGACTAGACTAGAACTAGACTATAGACTAGACTATAGACTAGACTATATAGACTAGACTATAGACTAGACTATAGACTAGACTATAGACAGACTAGACTAGACTATAGACTAGACTTAGACTAGACATAGACTAGACTATAGACTAGACTATAGACTAGACTATAGACTAGACTATAGACTAGACTATAGACTAGACTAAAGACTAGACTATAGACTAGACTAGACTATAGACTATAGACTAGACTAGACTATAGACTAGAACTATAGACGAGACATAGACTGGACTATAGACTAGACTATAGACTAGACTATAGACTTGGCTATAGACTAGACTATGACTTGACTATAGACTAGACGATAGACTAGACTATAGACTAAACTATAGACTACACTATAGACTACACTATAGACTACACTACAGACTACACTATAGACTGCACTTCAGACTACACTATAGACTACACTATAGACTATACTATAGACTAGACCATAGACTTGACTATAGGCTACACTATAGATTACACTAGACATTAGCTCTAAATGCCAATTTTTGAAAGACCTTTTCAGTATATCCTCCTATATACATATTTCTACAGATTTTTTATTGTTGCTCGTTTTTCAGACTTTATCAATCGAAAACTTAGTGTAAGTACGAATAAATAATAGAAAAACTTTAGTTTAAAACAATTATGGTTTAATACATTTCATTATTATGAATTAAAAAAATATTATTAGGTTTCTGAGATTAGTTGAAGGTTTTCTTATTATTTATTTATTTTTTTCTATAATTCTAATACTGATAAGGCGGATATTGCTGCGTATTTCCGTTTAATTAATTTATTTTTAATATTATTTATATAATATATATTTTTTATAAAAATTCATTGAAAAATAAGTCCATTTAACTCGATGAACTAAATTTATACAAATTGTCATTTGGGTCAGTTTCGAAATTTTATTATATATTTCAAAATATTTTGAATAATATAAGTATTAATGTGTATTGAATAAAGGGTGTTTAAAGGAAATTAGGTGAAAATTTTAACATTTTCATTACTTGAGGTTTTTATATCAAAAGTTAGTTTGATTTTAGAAAATATTTAGGTTATTGTGTTTCTGAAATTCTTTCTAGATATGGAGTTATTTTTAAAAATTAAATTTTAAAAAAAATTTCAGTGATGCTCTGGTGACGTTTGTCTTTCTTCTTATTGATAACTTTTTTGTCGAGGGCACTTTAGATTAAAGTGGATCTACTAATCATAAATGCAGCAATAGGGGTTTCGAATAGGTGTGTGTGTGAAATACTTTTTTATATGTTAATTTTTTTTTAAAGAAAAATGCTATTTTTACACATTATTTAATACTTTTGTTGCTGATACCCATATTTAATGACAACATTGCAATTATTATAAATTGTTTATTAATCACCCGTTACAACCCATTTTAAAAAATTATTTAACAAAAAAACTTATCACGTTTTTGTTTAATATTTATTAATTTTTATATTTTGGCATCATCATATTGTTTTACAAATTTATTAAACTTATTTGTTTTTGTGTTAAATAATTCCAAGAATTGATAATGTTCTTTTATTTACTAACCGGAATTGTAAAATTTTGAACTTGATCTAAATCTTCTGTACAATTAACTTTGTTTCTAGAGACGTTATATTAGAAGATGCAGATAATTTTCGTTGTTAGGTGAAAGTTCATAAAGGTTTTTTTTAATTTTAAATTTGTACAGTATGTTTCTGTATATCTGGAAGTAACTATAGCCTAATTTTTGTTATGAAATTTGAAGTGGGCGGGAAGTGTCATGCCCATAAAAATAAAAAACCTATATATGGGCGAACCAGCAGTAGTGTTCGTAGGATTTCCCTTATGGATTCGTGATCTGAGAAACGATAACGATTAATGTCCTCAAATTTTGTACGAATAACTTTACTGTCAATATAAAAGAGGGCGTGGCACCTCCCATATTAAGTAAATGTTAAATTTTGAAGTCGATGTGCTCTACGTGAATATCTGTTTGAGCTAATTCGACGACTCACCACTGCCCCTTTGCGTTTCTTACACGCTGGTGGCAATGGTTCATCCGGTCCATGTACAAGCACTTTGCACTCTAAGCTATCTAATCTCTTGCCATAGTAGCCTCGTCGAGGAGTGAAATATATCATGGGACGAGCCCAATACGTACCCCGACAAGGAAAAGTCAATCACTAGTTCAGTTTAGAAGGAGCGTACCCAACATCAAATCCTATTGATGTTATGAGGAATGCTCATTTCCCTAGAACATTGACATCATCTAAAGACTCACCCCAGTGTATTACTTAACCTCTTAAAGTCGCACAACCAAACCGCTGAGATGGCTCTTTTATTTCGGAAACACGACCTAGGGACGTAATCGGTAGTCCGAAGAACGGATCCATTTTTAATTTCTATGGCCACAAGGACCTTCACGCAGGTGGTAATGG